CCACTCCCAAGCTAGAAGGACCTTGTCTCTAAATCCACTTAAATTCCTCCTGGGTGGAGGCTTAGCCTCGAGCAGAGATTCTGGGGAGGGGACAGTGGATGGGCTTTCGTCAGTGCAAATGCTGCAACAGGAGCGGGTCTGGAGGGAGGGCTCACACAGCTGCTTTTGTCTCCCGAGAGCAGCGTGACTCAGCCTCCAGCTGCTTGTAGGAGGGAGCGGGTGCTCAGGCTCCTGAAGACTAGGGGGAGCGGTGGCATCGGGGTGCTGGGAGCTGAGGCTTGGCCTCCCCTCTCCAACATCACGCACCTCGGGAGTCTCAGGTAATCCCTCTGCCCGAATCCACCCAATCAGGCCCTCCGGAGGCCCCAGGGAATGGTCACCGATCACCACGACGTGGCGAGGGAGCTGACAGGACAGGGCACACTGCGCAGCCACCGGGCCATCAGAGCCGGGGTGGGCGTGGGGAGGCGTGCCGCAGCTCCTCCCCTGTCGCCCTGGAGCTGGATCCCTGGTTCGGGTTGCAGTGAGCATCTCGCGCTTGACTTCTGGGACGAGTGCGCGTCCACAGGTCAGGAGTTGAAAGAAGGCATCTTGGCCCCGCCCCTTTGGTCGACTGCCGGCCCCGCCCTCCCGTGGCCCCGCCCATCCTCCCGCCCATTGCCCCACCCTCTCCTCACCAGAACCCAGCTGCTGGTGGTCAAGGTGGAGCTGACCGCAGGAGTCGCGCAGGTCGACTTTCACCTACCCTGGAGTCGCTTCAGGGTCCCGGTTCGGGGTAGGATCCCTGGTTCTCTGCGGTTTGGGGAAGTGGAAACGCTTAGTGGTTTTCTGGGTCAGGGACTCCTGAGCGTCCAGCACTCCCCACACACAAGCTGCAGCGCCTTGCGGAGTCCTGACCCGGAACGGGGACATCCGTGTCCTCCCAGGTCCTCGCTGACGGCCTCCGTGCCCCAGGCAGTTGTCCCTGTGGAACTGCAGTCCCGCCTGCTTCCAGACCTGCTGGTGGCTTGCCCTGGCCCAGGCCCTGCAGGCTCATGTCCTCTGTAATCTCAAAGGAGCCCCATTTTGTAGAGATGGAAGTGGCCCAGAACAGGGCTTGCGGGGAGGGTTCCCTGCTGAGACGAGCGAGGGTCAAGTCTTCCTCTCTGACCAGCCTCAGAGACCAGCTGGGCATCCCCGCCCCTACGCTGAGCCCCTGACCTTGGCTGCCAGGCAGGAAGTGAAAGGGGCCTGCAGGAAACCCCAGGAGGAACCGAGACTTCGGCCGCCCCGCCCCCACCTGCCGGGCCTTGGGGACCCTGGGGAAACCAGACCCTCCTTTTGGAGAAACTGGCCAGAAGCAGCCTCTGGGAACCGGAGAGAGGGAGCGGGGCAGTCCTAGTCTGTCTCCGGGCCTCTCACCAAAAAGTGTAAGAGGTGAGGGCCTCTCTCCTCCAATGTGCAGAATGGACAGCCTCATCCTAGCTCCTGGGTGTGAAATGGTCCTCATGCTGTTCCCTTTTTTTTTTTTTTTTTTTTTTTTTTTCGGTTCGCATG